GTCTAATGTTATGAGATGTTGATCACTACCTGCTGGTAATGTTATGATGTTGATCACTACCTGCTGGCCTAATGTTATGAGATGTTGATCACTACCCGCTGACCTAATGTTATGAGATGTTGATCACTACCCGCTGACCTAACTTTATGAGATGTTGATCACTACCCGCTGACCTAATGTTATGAGATGTTGATCACTACCTGCTGACCTAATGTTATGAGATGTTGATCACTACCTGCTGACCTAATGTTATGAGATGTTGATCACTACCTGCTGACCTAATGTTATGAGATGTTGATCACTACCTGCTGACCTAATGTTATGAGATGTTGATCACTACCTGCTGACCTAATGTTATGAGATGTTGATCACTACCTGCTGACCTAATGTTATGACTTTCCGATCTTTTCATTGGTTGCGATGTTGCAATTTATCCGAATGGACACTTGATTCGTCCATTGAAATTAAAACGCCCATTAAGTATGTTCACGGTTGTCTTGAAATAATTTTAATTTTATATGGATTTGCATCAATTTATTGATTTGAAAATAAGGAACATTGATGTGATTTGCAATAAGTTATAACATGTCCATGTTTTTTTTCTGAAATTGTCAGTTTTCCATACCAATTAGCAATATTTCATTACATTTGATGTATGCTCGTTGGTACAGAAAAGATTTGCCTCCAAGAACAGCTATCCCATTGTAAAAACAAGTCACACAAATTCGTTGTTATTAGGTATAGTCTTTCTCTAACTCTAGTTACATTACATGTAGGTATTTTTCAAAACTTATAATAAACATTCGATATAGTTAGTGTTTTATAATAAAACAAAATTACTAACTCGAGTGAAAGAAAATCCTACAACCACTTGTTGTGTAACATCTATCTATTGTGTGTGTTGTAAGCAAAATTTGAAAAAAATATACAAAAAATACCTTTGTTTTTGTTAACAGACGTATTGTGAATAACAAAGCATGACTCCCTCCCGATGTAAGAACCTCATGCTGTGTATGTCCAGGTAGCCAATAGCAATGAGTTGTTCAGTTTCTGTAGAAAAAATGCTACACAATTACGGTAACAAGCAATATCTCTGGACCGACCGAAAAGTGTTAGAACAAAACTAGTAGGGTAAACGAGGTCTGTCTAATGTATTTCTGTAGTCTCATCTCGCGAACGGTCCGATCCGTTCCAGCACCACAAATGGTAAGCGCGCAAGTGGGCAGTGATTGTTTCAACACCAACCTAGTCGGCACTTATTTGGCTTTCAATCACACGTTGGGGCTTCACGTGTGTCCAGTATTGTTTATCTACTGCTCTAGGTGTGGACTGGCATACCTTTATGTCTAGCGTATGTATATTTTAAAACCAATTCCCGAAAGCCTTTTATTTTTGTGTCGGTTCCTTTTCCATTTCTCGGGTTTTCTGACGCTGGTTCTATCTCAGGCACTGATCGAAATACCACCGTCTATACCCTTCCTGTCTTTTAGCGTTTACCTGTTTTTTCTTTTGTCATTTCTCAAAATAAGTTAAAAGTGGGCTTAAACTGCTCGGTAATACAGGATCTCCAATCCTTCTAAACTGTCGACGTCATCAAATATAATCTATTCCAATTTATCGCGTCACTTCTATTATTCAAACCATGACGTCATAAAGAATCTGTTCGTTATACCTTATTTCTTGCCTATAGTTGTCATATGTCCATATTTACTTGAGTGCCCAGAGTAAATTAGGAAACTTGCCGTGTTTCTCTTCTGATACAGGCTAGTCACTGACAATGTCTTTGAGGATTTTCTGTGAATAGCACGTACATTTTAATATCTACTTAGAATTAGATACGGTAGAGCCCAGTAGTGAAATCGCCTGCATCATACAGCTGTTTCGTCCTTCCTCGCCAATGATGCTACGGACCTAAATTTTGGATGTTACAAACTTTATGGGGAGGTATACTAGCAAACACCGCCTACAATTATTTGTTGTTTACTAAGTTACTGTCGGTCAACAGAAAAAAGGGATCAGAAGTACTTTAAAGGGGCAATGCGATGGACGGATTTTTCTATCATTCATATATTTTCTTTTTTCTCTCATTGACTTCATCGTATTTCAGATTGATAATATTTTCATTGAGACGGAATGTAAGAACTTCCTACAGACTATTGACAAACTTATTGGAACTAACTGTGCCGCAATGTTGGCTGACTTGTATTTGTTTTCATACGAGACTGAATTTATCGAAGAGGTTATAAAAACAGGTCACGAAACCCTTGCAAAGTCCTTCGGTTTCTTTTTCAGATATATTGATGTATGATAAGCGTGATGATTTCTTTGTGCAATATGAAGCCTGACGTGTTTGAAGCTCGTTAGTTTGTCTCTTGGTTATGTTGCTGTATACATTGTTCTCACTTGAGAACGTGACATTACTTACTTGGATTGACCTAGATTTACATGGCGGGTGTCGCTGATTCTTCCAGAATTCAGATTAAGGCGGTCTTGATCTCCTCGTATTCGTCTAAAGGTCTCCGTGTAAATTCTTCTTTAGTTAATAGTTTTCCGTCGTTTCGTCGCATTTGCGGTTAAATTCATCTGTTGTTAATACCGATATTTTACATGTTGTGTTGACAACATCGGTTAAAAATGTAATTTAAAAAATCTTTGCACGTGTAATTGGAATGGAAATACTGACAGGTTTAGGTGTTATTCTGAAGAAAAAAAATCGAATAATTTGAACAAAAGACGGTTAACACTCTTAGACATGACAGTATAAAGATCGGTGTCCTTTACTCGTTCCCGTGCTATCAAAATTCATGGTTGATGTAGTGCTATAATAGATGCTGTCAGTTTTCAAATCGGTAAATTTACGAACAATTGATTTTTTATATTAGAGTACTGCTAAAGTTAAATAAATACCTTTTTAAAAAAGGCATTAATCAGCAAGATAAATACCACTTACTGATTCCTATACAGTCTCAATAGTTGGCTGTAGAATGATATCAATCATTCGAGAGCCTTATTAAATTTCCGGAATAAGAAATCCCACAGCTCGAGCCAGCTGTTATTTTGTTTTAATTTTTTTCTTCTTATCCTCAATACTTCATTCTGAAATGTTGCTGAGATCAAAATCAATAAAGTTCTCAAAGTTGACTGACTTGAGTGAGATGAACAAGATTAATAAAAGTCAATTGTTGTTTAAATTTCTTAACACTATTAACTCGTACATGTTGCCATACCAACAGGCTTGTGAGTAACAAAGTCATCACGTTTCTATTCCAGAAACACTTCTCAGCGGTGTCTTCTTAACAAATGTTTGACCTTGGGGAGTCAGTCCTTACTGGTAGATGATAATGGCACTGCCTGTTTTGGTATACTATATTTTATCTCATCATGTCCCTATAACGCTTGTCAGAGATACATGTAGGCTAATAAACGTCTTACTTGTTAAATAAAACGTTTAATTAAATATGTGACGCTGAATACAGAGTCTAAGTATTGGGACATGGTAAATGAATTTCAAATGATTTTTCGACATGCTTGGAATATTTGGAATGGTCCAGGGTTTAGATAAACTTCTGACAATGATACAGTCCGCTTGGGAAATTTACATAGTGCCTATACTGAGGCGAAGACTTTTTGAGTGAAAATGTACAAGGTAAATAAGATAATACATTATGGAAAATAGGTTTCTGTGGCTTCATCGACGACATCTATCAGGCACATGTAAATCTTGTTTATTCCAAATACACGTAATATCACGTTCTCAAAATCAGAACATGGGCAAAGACAGTGGAACCAACAAGTATACTAACGAGCATCAAACACGCCAAACTTTATATCGCGTGAGGAATTAGAATATTACCTCATGACGTCATTATGACGACCCTAAAACTTTCCAATCACTTACACCAACCTGCATCTCTCGAAACCCATTGTTTTGAGTTTGTCTGTTACTTGCCGATATTTTGCACGGAAGTCATGATATTGAGAACAAACATTTGAATATCGAGTCAACTGCGACATGTAAACACCATGGGTTGGAGGTGCAAGAATGTTGTTACCTGAAACGGAAATTTTACAACAGGTGAAATTAAAATAATCACGCTTATCACAAAGCGACATACAGGTAAAAGGCTGTTCTGTTTGATTTCTGTTTAGGAAAAGATCGAGATAAGTAGTTGATATAGGATAATTCATCGTGTCCTTGATATCCAATTCATGTGGATATATACGATGGACATATCTATTTTTTCATAATTTAATTGGCAAGACACCATCAATGTATCTGAAAGTGATATCATGTCAGCCAATAGAGGGACATAGTTAGTTTCCATATGTATACCAATAGTTTGTTACAAAATCTTACCGCCTAACTCGACGAAGATGTTGTCAATCTTAAATTTGGTCAGTTTAACGATCTCTTCTTTCGTATATTTTTTCTTTGATTTAGACGTACTTGTCACCAGATACGCTTCAGTACAGTTCAAAGCTATGTATTAGTACCGCATTTCGGTCAAATTTCTGTAAAAAGAAAACACTATTATCAAGAGAGTGAGGATGTTCTTTCAGTCTGGAATGGGCTATGGTACTATACAGAGTGGGAAAACTTTTTTTAACGGTGTTCAAGATCCATTAAATGCTCTTTGTAGGTACTTAAAATCCACATACCATTAATTCCACTTTTTGAGTTAACAGCATCACAATAAGACTGTAACCAGGATTTGATAGTTCTAAGAATGGCAGTAAAACGGTTTGATAAAGCTCTGATTCAGTAGTAACGCTGATTCTTGTGATGTTTTTTGTCCGTGTCCTTATCACTAATTGGCAATCCAAATGATTGTAATACTGATGCGTGATTAGCCAGTATGTATACTTGTAGTCTTGTGTTATCGAGCTTTTATTCACGAAATATAATAATAATAATGTCTGCAACTGAAGGGAAACAACTCGTACGATATTATGAATCAATCCGGAACATAGCAAAACGGGTATCAAATTCACCTCGACACCGAACAGATGTAAACATGGCAGCTCCTGTAACAGCCGAGGTGACACACGTGATATTCGATGTGGATGGACTAATTTTAGGTAATAATATCTTAAATACGACACCGTTTTACTGCATATCAATGGATATACCTCAAACCGATACATAGAACCAAATATTTCCTGATGTCCCTAAACATTTAACTTACTCGGATTTCAAAACGCCCCAGTCCAACTGATTACATAAGAAAATCTCTCACGCAGCGTTTATCTTAAAGTGTTTCGCTGTGTTGAACCTCTAACACTGTTGGGGTAATATTAACTATGGGGCACTTTATAGGTGCTGCAACCTATTGCACTTGTCTATCTGCTTAAATCTACATCTACTGATGAAAAAAGTATGTAGGTATACATCTCATATATATACATACAAACTTGTTTTTTCATCAGCGAGCGAAATCCCTGTACCCCGCTATCATTACAAGTTTGACTGGTCGAAACACTTTTGACAGGCGGACTAAAAGACCACGTGAAAGAGTCTTGACTGGGTGTCAGAATACAGGTGTATAATTAGTGTATTCTAGTCCCCTAATGGCGGTATAATGCCTTGTCAGTAATGTACAAGTGTAACTAGGTTATACGTAGAATTTTGTAGAATTAAAGACTAACTCCATTCTTCCATTTTCAAAATTTATTGGACATTATACAGAAGACCCTACAATTAACACAAATAACCAGTATGAGCTCAAATACATTATGCACTAAATACTTTACATTATACAATGGACGTTAATTTGTCTTAATAAAAGATAAAATCTCCGTAACGGTTACAATTATCGCTACACAAACTTTTAAATAAATCCAAGTTGATCGAAAACATGATAAATAGCAAGAATTTACCGTTATCTTTGTAAATTACACGGAGATTAGTCTTACAAAAAAATACCTACCCTATCAATCTGACAGGGGTCGAATACTCAAAAAAACACTACTTCTGACAGTGGTTACTTCTGGTCATACGTCTTTTCAAGAAAAATGGAAACTAATAAATATATTGAAACTAATAATGACTTTTGAAATACTGTAACAGTTTCCATTACAAAATAAGACAATGGAAACCACACCCAAAAGTACTTTTAACAAAGAACGAAACTTCTACTTCTTTTAACTGATTAGAAAAATACTTTCAATTTACTTTATTAACAATAATCAATAATTTACTTTAAAACAATATTTAGACTTACATTTTAAACATATGCATCTAGCAGGCTGTCCAGCATCCCTAAAATTCCTAAAAAAATCCTAATTTTTTTCAGTTTTGCTAAAATTCCTAAAAAAATGAAAAATAAAAGCCCTAATTTTTCACTTCAGTTCCTACTTTTTTTATATTTCTTACAATTTACTGAAAATGTTTTCATTAAATTCATACTTAAAATGTATTTTAATGTAGTCTGTAGTTCTAATTCAGGGTAGACAATGAAAGGCAGTTGACCAGTGGATCTATGTACCCAGATTGTTATTGGTTGTGACTGAGTGACAGAGGTGTGATTCTTAAGGTCTCAGCCAACAGCAGCTGGGACACTGAAACCCTGGAAGACACCTTTCCTGCAATTAAGGCATTGTATGTTACTTTCTATTTTGTTAAATTAAAAGGTAAGTCAGTTTAATGCTTTCATACTCCCTATTCTAGTTTCAAAATTCCTAATTTTAGCCCTAAATTTGCCCTAAAATTTTGTAATTTTAGCCCTAAATTTAGCCCTCATTTTTGTCAAGAAGTGCTGGACAGCCTGATCTAGCCTCTGCTGTCCATATGTACGCAGTAGTAGTTCGTCAAATGACGTGAGCAGGTCAATGTCCAGTGTGGGAATGACGAAACAAGACAAACAGGTGCACAGACAAAAATGCAGGCACGTGACAAGACATTTACATAACAATATGACAAAGCAGACGAACTGGTTGGACAAGACATTAAAAATAGTATCACAAAAGTTGGACAAATGTCTGAAGTTAACATTTTCTCCCAGAAAAACCTCTATAAGTTAAACAGCTTTTATTCAACAATTATTCAAATATGGCGAATTAAATACCTTCTAATAAAAAAGGTCTAAAATTTAACACTGCCACAGTAAGCATATATAGAAGTACCTCATTTAGGCAAGCCCCTTATGCTAAATAAATAATCTCATACAGAATTGTTAGGAATATGTGTGCTCTGAGAAAGCATACTGATAATACTATTCCTGTTAAGGGACTTTAAGGTCAAGGAAAGCTAATGATCGCAGAGAATGGTTTCCTCTCGTAAAAATCATGGTAATCACATTGTTAACTGTGCAATAATGATATAAAGCAACTGATTACTATTTTGGCTGTAGATACAGAACGCCTTTATACAGTCATCACAGACAAGATCGTAGGAGAATATGGCAAAACATTCACATGGGAGGTCAAGTCGAAGCAGATGGGCAAGAAGGATGTGGAGGCTGCAAAGATTCTCATCGGTTTGTTTTTGTGTTTCTTTGCTTATTAAATGTATGAAATGAAATATTAGAGTACAAAACCTTCCATTATATGACGAAGTCAAAGTCTGAACATCTTTAAAACAACGCTTCTATGGGACTTTGGTGGCCGAGTGGTCAATGTGTCTGTTCATCTTTATCACTTGCCTTCCATATCTGGGTCTTGTAGTTGAGACCTACCTGGATAATCACCAGTTATTGGCCGCTGGTCAATGGTTTTTCTCCAGAACTTTCTTCCTCCACCCAGACCTGGCATGTCCTTAACTGACCCTAGCTGTTGATAGGATGTAAAGCAGTAATAAATCAATCCTATAGCTTCTTCTGTTGCTGATACATTCATCTTCAATCTGTAACAGAAGTCACTATCTCAGTTAACTTTCCTAATACTTCTGCAAACCCAAGTCCTCTGGCTGGCAATGTCTAGAGTCTTACATTAAATATATGGTCAACTGATTAAACTGAAGAATTTTAGTCATATATATTGGGCTAATATTTACCAGGGTTACACATGTACACCTATGTTTTATTCTATGTATCTGTACATCATGTTCGGAATACTGTTACATTGCCTGTAAAACTTGTGTTGCCTATAGAGAGTGGAAGGAAGGGAAGTAACTCTTGGAGATCAGAATACTAGACATAAAACTTGACTGATGTTTTAGGAAATGAAAATTTTTTGAGAATAGTTTGTGTAACATGTTTCAGATGAACTACAGCTACCAATGACAGTAGAGGAATACCTGGTAAAGGCGAGGGAACAGCAGAATATTCTGTTTCCTGGTGTGGATCTCCTTCCAGGTAAGGTAGGAAACAGTAAAATTCTAAAATTTTATAAATAACTTAAGTTTTTCTAAAGCAGTTTTGAAATTTCTTATGCTTTATGTTATTAGAAAGCTCATCTGTCTTGTCCTGAGATGCAGTAAATGGCTTCCTTTAAACCAGCTCTTGTTTTCTGAGTACCAGACTAATTAAAACTGCTGACAATTTGGTTTCTATTTTGTTGAGGAAGTATGTTGTATGCATAGCAGCAGTCAGTCTGCATTTGTGAGTCAACAAGTCTCCCTGGACACATATCTAAATATCTTATGTGTCATTGTTTGGCCAGTTAGCACACCTTTGATTACACTATAACAGATTTAGTTTTTTTTTTCAAAAGGGGCAGAAAAATTAATACGACATCTCCACAAACATCGGGTTCCTATCGCTGTGGCAACAGGATCTAGTAAAAGGAGCATTGGGCTGAAGACAACCAATCACCAAGATCTCTTTAATCTGTTCCTTCATTTTGTATACAGCAGTGATGATCCAGATGTAAAACATGGTAAACCGGCTCCAGACTGCTTTTTAGTCGCAGCCAGTCGATTTCCAGATAATCCTGATCCTAGCAAGGTATATGAAAAAGTTTTCAAATTGAAGCAGTTTTGATAGTTGCAGGGTTAATTATCTTTGCTTTTGTTTATTTACAAGTGATCAGTATGTTTATAACACTTGAAGGGTTTTAAGTAAAAATTCAAATATATTACCTAGACCAACACTCAAGGTCATGGTCAGATATGATAAGAATTTTTGATTGACATATATACTTAATAACAAAGGGCTATGAGACTTGGCCATGATTATGCTTGAGTGAAGGACGAGCATTAGGAAGTTGTTTTAGTGAAAAATGTTAACATGACCAACTTTAAGGGAAAATGTGTCAAGTATTTTACATTTATAAATGAGTCTTCTGAATGACAAACATGTCAGGGTTATATCATTTGACATGTCACTACAATTTAAACCTTCTCTTTATATAAAGATCATCACGAATCTTACAATACATCTTGTACCTATTTTTAGTTACACAATATTAAAGTTTCTTCCATCTCTGAATATAAAGTTGTTTATTCTCCCAGTGCTTGGTATTCGAAGATGCCGTAAATGGTGTAGTGGCAGCTCATACAGCAGGAATGCAGTGTGTTTGGGTACCGGACCCAAAACAACCTCAGGACGGATATAGGGAGAAAGCCACACTCACCCTGGAATCCCTCCTTCAGTTTAAACCAGAACAGTTTGGACTACCACCTTATGATGTGTGATATCTGTTGATTTTAGCCAATTAACCTAACTATGTATGCAATTATGTGATTTTAAACCTGTCCATTTAATTCAGTATACATATATTTCATGACAATTGGAAAAATTATTAAATTGAATCAAGTTATATCTGTACTTCAATTTTTTTGTAATAGTGCAAATCATATAAACTTAAGTTAATTTGAAATTAAAGGAAAGCATACCTGTCATGGTGACAAAAATTGAAAACTGGATATCTCCAGTTTAAAAGCTTTTCACTAACTGGAGAGATCATTGGTTTTGTTATTTAAAGTCAATGGTTTTCTTCCTTATGTAAGCTATTAGAATCTTTTGATGTATAAGCAACTTTGTTGAAGAACAAATCTTCTTATTCAAGTGAAAATAAAAGATTATGTTTCCAAAACTTTCCAGTCTGGGACCAGAGTTATTCACTTGAATTTATTCTAATAAACTGGATGTTTTTGTCAAAACTTGGAGACCCAACAGGTATTAAAAACATAATGGAATATGAGCTCATTTGGCATTAACAATGCATATGCAAGTATATATATACTTTCTAATCTTATAATAAGTATCAAAAGTCATTTCAATTTCTCTGTAAATTGTTTTTTAATTGGTGCCTAAACTTTTTTGTCAGTGCAATAATCATTTGTTGTCTCAACAAAAGTTCCTACATCCTCGATACTCCTCATTAGCTCTCTGCACCCCTGGAACATGTATTAGCAAAATTGAAGGTTCTATGTGCGACACCTTGTGGACAAGACAAGGAGACTAGTTTGATATTGTAATGTGCATCAAATGATATATTGTAATGGCTTCGAAATATGGTTGTGCTCATTTGTGATCTTCCAAAGGAGTGTATCAGTCTGTGATTGGTCAGTTTTTTCTCCCGGAACCAATCAAATTACTTCACTTGTGCCTTCAATTTTGCCATGACATGTACGAGGGGTGCAAAGAACCAAAGTGATCATATCCCCTGGAATATCGAGGATGAAGTTCTTACTGATTGGATACCAGGTTGTCATGTATAAATAAACACAAAAAGAGAGTTACTTGCATCTACAGAGAATGTATTTTATGTCGGTATAATATATAGAGGAATCATTTCATGTCCAGAATTCAGATTTTTTTTCTAAAGTTGACCTTGTGATGTTCCTCCACTGCTATGATGTTGATCGATCTACCTCTGACAGGTTGATATCAGATAATTTTATGCATATTTATTTATTTAATAGATATTCAGTAATCTCAGGTTTGTTGTTTTGATCAGTCATAAACATATTTAAAGCTCTTACTTCATAATAAAGCTAAAATTTACTGATTTTAATGCAGATGGTATTGATATCAAAACCAGTTTTACTTTTGGTTCCTTTTGGAACCATTTAAATTACACAGCTATCAAGATCATATAATTTCTCTCCGTGTTTGAAGTAGTTTTAATTGAATTCAAATGAATTAAGCAGTATGTGATACGTTTGAAAATCGCTCTCAGATCAATATTATCACAAGGAGGCTCACATGAACGTCACAGCCTCCTACAAACACGTACGCAACACATACACTCACCTTGGAAAGTTATCCTTAAATATACCAACATGTTGATCGGACTTTGAGAAATATTGAATTATATTGAACCATTTAGCAACATGACATTGATGCTATAGATATACAAAATCACAAATTTCATACGAGATTGCATCATCTTTTACTACAAAACATATTCTAGTATGAGACTGCATGAACAATTTAACAACCATATGTACATTTTGTCATCATCCTTTATGCCCGTGTCAGTGAGATATTGTCCTGGGAAATGTAGGTTTTGTCTAATTCGTTGCCTTAATCACGATCCTAGTTGTTGTCATCATAGTCTACATCCAATATTAGGAGCAATGATAAAGTTTATATTTTGCTGCGTTCTAGTAAAAATGTCGGGAAATGTATTGTAGTTATATGAAAGAGGCTGTGTCAAAGTAGTAGGCAACATATATAGACATCTAATCATTTTCTCCACTTGTTCAAACTGTCACAGTAAATTTACTTATATAGACATTTTATCACTTTCTCCAACAATAGCATAGTACATGTTGGATTATATCTTCTTTTTTCTCATATTCTTTACTCATCCTTGGGAGGCAAACAATTACATCCTCACTGTTCATAGATCTATACAGTATTTTTATTCTCAATAGTAAAAGCTAATGTTTATAAAAGGAATTATTGAATTATACATGGAGATATGATGTCTCCGATGACCCCTCTGTCATAATGTATATCAGAGCTGTAAGATATAATGTATTATAAAACTTTGGGTTTTACAAAACAAATCTGTTATAGAATAACACCAATCATGATTTATTGATTAATTCCACCCCAATTTTCGAAGTTGTCTGCCTTATTGTCAAGAATGCCGATTATTTTTTAGTCCCTTTCTCCAAGGTTTCATTCCCAGTTGACATTTGAAATCAACCCTGTAACTTATGATTTGGTTCTGTTGTGCCTAATTCTACTTTTGTGTTAAAAGGCGCTATTCACTGATGTATCTTTTATGTAATTTATTCGTTGTGTTCATAATATTCTGTACTTTTAAAATTAACCATTTATGACATGTTATTGACCATAGATGGTGAGCTGATCAAATTGCCCTACGTCCATGGTCTGTTCGTAGTCAGTCCTTCAATTCTAGTCCTGGTCATTTGTATTACCACTGGGTGGATCTTAAATTGCCTGTAGAGGTTACCATTGGTCCCTAGTTCTAACCTTTGGATTTTGGGACCAATGAGAATCTCTAAATGGCAGCTGGCAGTAGGCCATTTTGAATTTTGATCAGAAATGATTCATATTGCTTATTCTTTAGAAGTGTTTCACAGATCGTTCCCATGGTCCCTAGTTGTGCCTCTGATTAGAAAAACTAAATAGCTGACAAACCAGCATCTTCTATCTTGATATATTATAAAAGATAATTTTTTTATTACAACATAATGATTTTTAAGATTTTACAATCCTATTTTTTGCCGAAGTCATGACCGGTGATTTGATGACTTTGTTATTGATGTATATGAATTGTCTTTTTTAGAAAAATGTACTCGATTTTGTTTGTATTATTGAACCACTATTACTTCAAAGAATTATGCAGGAAATGACATGAAATAAACAGATGAAAGATCATGTATGTTGGTTTTGTGTGACCAAGTTGTTTATTGATATTTTACAATAACTCATTTCAGTCTTAGATAGGAAGTTATTTCATTAGCAAACTTACTATTTGTTAATAAGTTAGAGGTTTACATCTTGTTTAAATTTTGAAAGGAGGAAACAATCAGAATTAATTTTAAACAGCATTATTTGATAACATCATGTATATTTATCGGAGATAGGAAGCAAGCTTAAAGTTTGTATTAATTAAATTGGGATGACATATATTGCTACGGTTACATTAAAATTATGAAAACCATAGGGTATATCTTGAATATAATTATGATAATCAGATGTTATCTATGGGCTATAATTATGATAACATGACTTATCATTTCATTCAGTCGCCAAATATTTTGATCTTGCGTCAAAATTCAGTCGTTTGCACTAATTGCTTTGTAAAGAAAAAAGACGCTTATAATAAAGACAACGATTTTATCACAATAGACAGATTAATCTCATTCTGGACGTGGCATCACATACTGAAGTGATCAAGGTTTGTTCGGGAAGTGTCCTTGATGGAGGTGCTAACCATGCTGAACGTGACATCACTTTCTGGAGTGGTCAAGGTTGGTTCGGGAAGTGTCCTTGATGGAATAGCTAACCATGCTGAACGTGACATCACTTTCTGGAGTGATCAAGGTTTGTTCGGGAAGTGTCCTTGATGGAATAGCTAACCATGCTGAACGTGACATCACTTTCTGGAGTGATCAAGGTTTGTTCGGGAAGTATCCTTGATGGAAGCGCTAACCATGCTGAACGCACTAGAGAACTTAACACTTAATTGCATGACAAGAAAACATGATATTATTTCTACACTTAAGAGGGTTGATACGCATTTTGCTGTTTTAGATTCTGTTGTGATGATCATTTATATGACAAATACATAACCCTGATTTCAATCAGTTTTTTTTCAATCGCATTTAAGCAAATCCTATTTACAATAAATATAAAAGGATAAGTGATTACGCAAACCTTGTGTAAGCTTTCTCCATACAACACTAAATACTGTACAAGCATCTAAGTACAATTATGCGATAAACTTATTGTATCTTCATGCTTCATCAAAATCGTTTGCTACATTAAAAAACTACGATTCTCAATACTGTATTCTGATGTACTTAAAAGTCAAGAGTTAGATTTTCTGTTTGAGTTAATTCCTGACACAAACCATAACACAAATGTGTATAAGGAAAAATTGATATAATTCAATATTAAATGATCTTAAATTATTTGGCTCTACTTCATTACGGAAGTTATTTTATTTTCTGTGTGTGTGTTTTTTTTTTCCATCTTTGCTCAGAACATGTAAGATTTCATGTTTAACTCCATCGGTGTCTTAGTCCTAGTATTCGTGGAGTTCTATCAATTGTTGGTGTCTTACTGTTAGGCTATGGCGGACTCTGAAAATAACAAAGATATAGTGAGAAAGGTCAGTACATCTATATATATTTGAAAAATTGTTTTCCTATATTTATCATTCATCGACCGGAAATACACAGGCTTATTATACGCGGATACTTTACATAGCTATAACAAAAAGTACATGTGGTATTAGCATTCAACAAGTATGTCATTGTTTCAACATGTAACTGATAAGCGACTCCGTTAAGACACATATTACTTATATCTGAAGTCTTACGGAACTTCACTCAATGTATAACCCGCTCAATGTTACGTTTTATATTGTACAAAACTTACTTCTTCAAACGGATGAAAATTATGACCGAAACGGTTAAAACAGAAACCACAGTAAGAACAACCACAGTCATTATGAGATGGGTGTCTGGAAAAAAAAAGAAATGTTTCGTGAATTGGAAAAATAACAGAAAAAAAAGATTGTAGGTATCGTTAATTTTGAATAACTATATATATATTATAGATTTCGTGAATTTAAGAAATGAACATAGATTTTTTATTTCGACATATCATTGCAACAGGAAAATACAGATAGAAAGATGATACTGGTAAACAATAGTTGATTTCTGTAGG